AAACAGTATATGAGAAGGTGAACATAAAGAAAGAAAGATATGGGAAATTTTACTAGCTAAGATTGATAGCTTAACTAGCAAGTTCATGGGCATTGGATAATCATGGAGCATTGAGTTGGCTCCAAAAGCAGGCAGACAACTTAAACATTTATACGCCCAGCACTTTGAACAATTAACTCTTCCAACACAAATTAAAAGCAGTAAAGAACAGATATTCAACTCCTTATGATAGCAAGATTAAGCAAACATGGTCAAGTGCAGCACAATCTCCAGTACAACTTTGTCCATTTACAAACAAGGTAAGAAATAATCAGCTTCCGCTAAACACACCCTAAAAGTCTGGAATGGTTCAGAAGAATTGCCAGTCACCGCAATTATCAATCAAAAAAGTTAACAAGACCAAATCCTGGTGCTAAACAAATTAACATGCCTCAAAGTATACGTTATAATCACACAAACATGACAAGTATTATTCCAATAATGAAATATGAAAGGTCGCCAACAAGCAATACCAATACTTGGAGAGAACAACACAGGCCAAAACAATAGGTTAGTGCCACAGAAGTATTACTGCACCAAACTATTACCTGAAATATTTCTGCCAGACTCTTCTGTTTAGCTCCAAGTCCAATACCAGGCAGCCCAGGGAGTCCATCCTTACCCCAATCAGCTGACCCCTGGACTTTTTCCGGCTCAGTCTCCCTTTCCTCTTTCTTCGAACCAAACCCAGGCGGCATCAGAAAGGGTGACCTACCAGGCCCATTCTCAGTCTTATTCACTTTCCTCTTATCCCCAATTCCACCCAACACCGAGTTTCCACCTTGCGCCCTTTGAGCATACCTCCAATCCTCCTTGGACAAAAGGGGCGGGGGCAACCTAGGATTTAAGTTGACATTCGAATAATAATACGACAGATAAGCAGGATCAGACCTAAGCTCCTCCTCAGACATAACCCCATTGCCATTCTTACTTAAAGATAATTCAGAAAAGGCATCAGTATTCCCGAAAAGCCCTCCTACCGCACTCAATGAGCCCTCTACAGTGGGAGGGGCTGAACCACTCCGGTAAATATTGAGCTCGCGCTCGCGATCATCGGCTGGGTCTTGCTGCCGCCTCTGTTCGCGGAGCAACATCCCTATCTCCTTCTCTAATTCATCCCCAAATGATCCATCATTGTTCCCACCAATCATCGGTCTCCTTCCCAATTCAGATAACATTATCACACCCAAATTAAACAACACAATATCAAAAGTTGACAAATTACACCAAACCCACAAACCCTAGAAACCCTAATTGCATACAAAGCTGAAAACTTTTCAAAAACCCTAAACACCCTAATTTTATATAGAGTATTTACAACTACACCCAGTTTTCTTTTTCAAAACCCTAATTCCCTAAAACCCCAAATTCATCAAAATCCAATTATTATTATGATTATTAATGATCAAACATCAATCTTTTTCTTTACCCAATTAATAATTTCACAAAACAAAATATGGGATAAAAGAAAAGATTATCTGGGTCTGATTGATCGGACGATGATCAAGCAACAGCATACGCCATGTTTGAATACTTCAATCACACAGAATAAAACCCCTCCAGAAAAACTGCTAAATGAGTAAAAAAAATTGAAGAGAGAGAAAATTTAGAGAGAGAAAATAATCGGAGAAGGGGTTTTCAACGACCAAGATCAATTCCGGCGGCTATTTAACAAAAGGGTTTCCTTTGCTTGTTTTCCCCCCTCTTCTTCTTATTACAAGAAACCCTGTTTAGGGTTTTTGTACGATGAAAGAGGACTTTTTGTTTGGGTGAGAGAAAATTAAAGGAGAGAGAAAATGTGTTTTTCATCAAAATACTGAATAAATACTGCTGCTCACCTGACCCTTTTTCTTTTAGTAATCCTTTTTAACAAACATTATTATTGTTGTTTGCTAATTGCTTCTAATACCTATCACCTTCATAATTACTTGACCTATAAAAGTATCTAGGTTGAGGTTCCGCTCTCATAAGACAATTCTTTGATTTTCATTATACTCGTAATATTTAAGATATACGCTATTATACATGCTGTGATATATAAAGTATATTGGTTGTTATCTTTTATGTTGTTTTTTATTTGATTAAGTATATTAGGTATGAACATATTAGGTCAAAATAAGAGTTGGAAATTGTTAAATATTATAAAAAGGGAATTTCAAAAAAAAATTAAGTACTTCATTTCCAAAAAATAAGGTGATTGACCAAGTGATAACGGACTGATGGAAGTGGCAAAATGCAGATAAGTGGGGTTTATTTATTTAATTTAATTTTTACTTTTTTATTATATTATTTTTTATTTAATAATTTAATTTTTAATAATTTGGCCACCTCATACATCCAAAATTAAAAGGCTTTTTAGAGAAATGCCACGTCATCGCATTAGATTCGGTGGGTTTTCATGGAAGCATGGAAACTATTGAAAAGCCCTTTATTTAGTTAGACAGTTAAAAAAAATAAAAAAGTTAGGAAATGTGAAGTTTCAGATTTACCCTTGTTGGGTAATCAATCAATGTGTTTATAAAACTTAAAAGTACTTAATTTGAGGGTTACCAAATATTTACTTAGATTTTGGGTTTTTGACCATTTTGTATTTGTTGTTGAAAATCTCAACCTTTTTAGGAGTGTTTGGTAATTGTTGTTAACTAGTTTAGGTGATTTCCAGTAAGATAGTTATCCAATAGTTGCTATATTTAGTCATTTTTTGTTATATTTAGTATCTAAGAATATCAAATATGGTATTGTGCCTCTAATATACTTTCCTCAAATATAACTGGAGTAGTATATGCCAATAATACCAGCTTAGTCTAGCCAGTATAATAGGGAGATTTTGTCTCCTTTATTCCCGTTAAAAAGATATAGCATATGAGTACTTTTTTTTTTTTTTTTTTTTGTATTGCATAACTAGCTTTTAAATTTGAGAATTGCACAGGCTAAAAAATAACATTAATTTTACATATGAGTTATGTTATTCTATGATTTTTTTTATTTTTTATTTTATATATAGGTCTATAATATTGTGCTCATCCTGGTTGTATTATGTTATACACAAGTATAATTTAAGAAGCTCGAAATCAAGATATTACACATTATGAAAAATTATATAAATTTACATATGAAGTACAAAGTATAATTTAAGAAACTGGAAATCAAGATAAGATCCAAGTATTGTCATCCTAGTATTGTTGAGGCTACGACTCTTTTTTTTTTTTTTTAGAGACATAGAGTCATAAAGCTACCGAGCTACTAAGCTACTGCTAACTTCATGTTTCGGAGATTGATAATGAAAAGTGATTGTCTTGGTTAGTAAACACATGAGACGGGAAAATTAGTTCCCATCTTATCTTTAGATGATATTTACCACATTTGTAATTTTATAAAACAAATCAGTCTCTTCAAGCTTTGCTCGTATAATGAGAAGGGAGAAAAAGTTCTCCATAAGTCAGCTCATTGCTTGCATGCCATGGGGAACAAGTAGTAGAAATGTTTATCGGATTTTACTAGTTGTGGTACCTAATTCAGAACATTATCTTCATATGAATGGAAATTAAGGGTGCTTGGGATTTTCTTAAAATAAATAAATAAATAAATAAATAAAATAAAATAAAATAAAATTCAAGATGAATTACTAACAAAATTGTACAAGATTATGTTTTTTCAAATGATTATATTTCATTTACATTTAAATTAAACTCTCAATATTCCAAAAGTGGACAAATAAAACTATAGTAGAAGTATGACTACTATGCAAATATATATGTGCTGGTGATTACTTTAAATTAAAGAACGGACTATTTACTGAAATGAAGTGAATAAAGCTGAAATGAATATTTTACGAGAGAAGGAAATTAGGATATGAACTGAACTGAACTGAACTGATTGGAACTTAACTGAACTGAACTAAAGGGAAGTGAAATTAAGCTAAAGTGAATAGACCCTTAATTGGTTGATCTTTATTCATTGTTGGTGATTACTTTAGCCATTCCAACTAAAATTAAGCCATGCTCGGATTTTTCAAAATACATTGTTGGATTATTTTTAAGCATAATATGACAATACCTTTTGTATGTTGATTTGCTTAGTTTTATTTTATTTTATTATTTTATTTTTATTTTTTTTTATTCCGTCAAATTGAACATAGGATTATGTATGTTAAATTTTTTTCCTCATAATAAAAAATGTATGTTAAAATTTAAATTTTCTATCTTATCTTTTACCATGATAAAATTAACGTTTAGTCATTGATTGCTTTTAAATTTCAATCTTGATAACTAACTTGAAAATATTTATTTTCTAATGAAAAAAAATATATTTTTTACGGGAATTTTTTTAATGTGGTATTAAAATGTGTAATCTAAGAATATTCATGGGGATTATTTTAGTATAATATATAGATAAATAGATATGCAAATATGAAATATGTATGTGCTCGAACACTATTTATCTTAGCCTCAAACCCCCTAGTATTAAAACCTAATAAAGGGTTAAAATCAAACAGTTAGTGCTTAATATAAGAAATTACCCTATAAAATACAACTACAAGTATGTACTAACGTAGTATTTAAATTTCAAACATAACCTTCCAGATGAGTTAGGCTTGTAAATCGTTATTTTAGAATTTAAAATCGATCAATTTCACTCTTAAAAACCAAACTTAGGGCCTGTTCTCATTGGCTGAACTGAGCTGAATTGAACTGAACTGAATTGAGCTGAGTTGAACTAAACTTTTTATAAGAGAAGGAAATTAGGAGCTGAACTGAACTGAGCTGAGCTGAACTAAAATGAGTGAAACTGAAATGAAGTGAATTTCAACATAAGAGAACAGACCCTTAGTTTCTAATAACAAAATTCAAAATCTGAATACAACTTTATACTGCGTAATTCATTCTTTCATTCTAAGAATTTTGTTAAAACACTTACACGTGAGTTTGGTAGTCCTCACTCTTCATAGTAGGAAACCAACATCAAACTCTAACCAAAAGCATCCATGTGAATTTGTGAAAGCAGTATGACACCTTTGTAGTTTGTACGAAATCTCACCTAAAATTGACAGAAATATTAGAGATAAACCACAACAATTAATGCCTTTAATCACACGATCTGTATTACAAGTAGAATCCAATCCAAGGGTCAAAATTATCAGTACAAAATACCTGCCAGACTTCCAGATGTCTATTTCTGGAACTTTCTAACTAAAAATATGAATATTTTTTTCTTAAAAAAAAAAAAAATAATTAACTCCAAAATTTGGGTTGTTGTTGGGATCTTGTAACTTCATCACTCTCTTCATATTGCTAGCTTTAATACGCTTGAAAAATTGCAACTTTATCGTCCAATCTTACCACTGTAAGTAAATTTCCCAGTTTGATTATTCATGTTATTGTTTAAAGTTTGCAACTTTAATGGTGGTTTTTTGAATTTACCGGCAAACTGTTTGAAATTTGGTATTTCTTTATCTCTTTTTTGCCCATCCTCAAATTTGTAAAATTGGGGTAATTTTTTTGGGTATTCCTCTGTTTATATATACCTGCATTTGAAATTGTTCAATTAATGTTTGATTATATGATGATGGGTTATAATGGTGCAATTAGTTTGCATCATATGACAAAAGTAGCTGATTAATGCTGCATTATCGATGATTACATTAAAGAATCAACATTACTCATGCAATGAAATCAAAAGTATATTTGATTAGGTTAAGCTTGTCACATGCTTACTTTGTATGTTTAGAGATGGTCCAATCTTCCCAATTATGCAAAATTCAAGTTCTATATAAATCTATAGCAAAAGTTATTAGCTTTGTGGTTTACAGTATAAGTACATTGTGAATGCCTAATTATGATGTTATTCTAGAAGGAAGGGAAGTTATTTTTGTGTGTTTTGTAACTGACAAAAAGGCTATGAATTTGAGGACAATGAGGTTTTATATAAGTGAACTCAATTTGTGTGTGGTTTAGTAGTTGGCTCACATTGTTTCTCACTGATCTATGTGTTGCTGCTGGATACTATTTCATATGCAAGTTCTGAACATGAAAGCTTATTAAGCAATTTGTCATTCTCGGCGCTTTGCAGGCATTGCTAAGTGCTAGGCATATAGGCTGTTTGCTACTCTTGCAAATATGAGTTTTGTTTTCCGTGGTAGTCGAGGAGATATTGAAAATGGATTATCAGGATTAGTTCCGGAAAGGCGCTCAGTAGTATGTTCTCTGTTCATGATTGATTTTCTTTATTTTATGTGGTTGACTTTACTTGTTGAGAGTTACATTGGGTGTTATGATGGACTACTTTTTAATTTTTTTAAACCCAACTTGTATTTTCTCGTGAAACAGAGAATTCACCCAGTTCGGCCTGTAAATACAAATTCGTTGGCTTTTCTTGTCACTGGTAAGTGGTAAGGTTTATGCTATGTCATTTGACTGAAGTGAGATTTCTTGTTTATAATATTCATATGATTAATACCTAACTTTCACTTTGTTTGTTGTTTTGTAGTTCTTTTGTTGTTCACAATTCTAAATACCCATCAGATGTCACCTAATTTTCTGGTAAATTGTTCCAAATCTACGTCTTGTTGTCTATTACTTTAACCGATGTGAGTACTTGTGTTTGCTACCACTTAATTGAGTTCTGTAATCTGACTATATGCAGCTTTGGCTGGTTCTTGGTGTGTTTCTGATTGCAACAAGCTTAAGGATGTATGCAACTTGTCAACAATTGCAAGTTCAAGCTCAAGTTCATGCTGCAGCCGCTAGTGGCTTATTTGGGGATACTGAGTTCCGTTTGCAGATGCCACCGTCCATAGCTTTAGCAAGCAGAGGGCGACTACAAGGACTGAGGCTTCAGCTTGCCCTTCTGGATCGTGAATTTGATGACCTAGGTATAATATACACTACAAATTCATACATTACAAATTTCTATACCATCATATCTTAGAAACAAACTTGAATTTTTTAGCTGGTTTGTCAATATGTGCATTATTAGGCTTTAAGTTCTCCAAAATTATGTTGTAGATTATGAAGCATTAAGAGCACTGGATGCTGACAATGTCTCAAACATTCCTTCAATGAGTGAAGAAGAAATAAACGCCTTACCAGTCCACAAATACAATGGCACAGGACCAGAGTGGTATGGTACACCTTATTATCAATGAGTGCGGGTAGTTTGGTTGAATTGTAATTAATTTGTAGTGGCTCAGTTATGAAGTTGGCCTGCGTGTTTCATTTCTAGTTGAATTAGTTTGATTTTGTTATACTAATTACATGTTAGTAGCTTGTACTTCGAAATCTTCAGTATGTTGCCAGAATACCACTCTTGTCTACTCATAGACCATAGTACATAGTAGTTTATACTTAGATTTTCCGTTTTTATTTGGTAACTCAATATGCTATATTCAGTGATAATCTTGCGATTATTTTCTGCATTTGGAAGAGTTAAATGTTTCTTATAATATGAAATAAGTAATATTTTGTGTAATGATTGGAAATTTAGTTATACATAATACCAATGTACTTGGCTCATTGTATTTCCATCTCATATAATTTCTTGAAATTCTTCTTAGTGAGGTTTCACAATCACAAGAGGCTTCATCTTCGTCAACAACCCTTGAGGTATTTCATTCTTTACCTTGTTTGGTGTACTACTATACTTGTGGCCTTGTGGGAAAATTGATGCCTTATGTTATCACATCTTTCTTGGTTCTTCTGTAGTTACACTATGTAATCTTGATAAACACTCCTTTTTTTTTTTTCTTCTTCTTCTTTCTGTGGGCATCTGTGCATGCCAACATTAATAATGCATGGAGTGCTTTATATAACAAAAAATCCCCTGCTTCCAACTAGCAGTTTTTAACAACTTAAAGATATACAAATATATATATTAAGACAAATTTGTTAACATATTACATTACAATATAGAGTAGTAATAATACTGTGCGTGGCATGGGGTGTATCATACAAGATCTATTCTCTTAAACTATAGACTATAGAGGAGTAAATAAGTTATCTATTAGCTTTTGTGTTATTGAGATATCGAGTGGCTCTGAGGATCTTGTCACTTATGTTTTGCATTCTTCCTTTCTTCTTTGCTTAGAGGTATGTGCATGCTATGAATATGATGCCAATGCTGAGTAAATATAAAGTAGTACCAATTTAATGCATTTAATGGTTTGGAAATTCTAAACATTGGAGTTATGCTTATAGTGTAAGTGTGTAACCTTAATTCTTTACTTATCTACATGTAGCTTCCCCCTTGGCACTAACCTTAGGAGGTGCTTTTCCTGAGTTTTGTGGAATTTTGCTTCATTTCCATTAGATGCTTGTCTTTATGCACTTGCTGTCTCAAAAGACTCTCTAGGCTATCTGTTCTCACAGTCTAATATTTCAGGTTTTGTATATGAGCAACTTAAATAATGTATCAGTAATGAAGGCTTAATTTCCAAACGAAATAGAGATGGAAACAAAAGTAGGGAGAAATAAGGATTAATGGACTATTGGGAAAGATGAGGATGTAGAAAAGAAAAGGGTAAAAATAAGCATGAATGAGCTATGTTCACAAGGCAAACTCCAAAATGAATTCCTATGAAAACAGGTCATAAGGGCAACAAGGCTTTTTAAAATAGGAACTAACCCCCCACCCCCCTCTTTATATGGTGTTTGAAATAAACTCATTTGGCAAATAGGCCATTTCTTCCCTTATTCTTTCCTGAACACATCCAGTTATAGGAAATGGCTCAATTGCTTTCTCAAACACAATTTTATTCTGAACTGTGATATATTGCTGAGTAAACTTGCTATGGTGTTGCTATAGTATAGTACTCCGTAATAATTAATGATTTATCTTTTGTCTGTCTCTTATTTAATGATATATCTTGTGTCTGTTTCTTGAACAGCTAAAGCAAGATGCAAGTAGCACAAAGGGTACAAAAGAAGATCTTACTTGTACTATATGCTTGGAGCAAGTGAAGAGAGGAGAACTCCTGCGTACCTTACCATGTTTACATCAGGTGTGTGATTCATCTAACTGATTTATGCACTACACCCTTAATTTAGAAACTTCTAAAAGCATATTTGACCATAAATTATGCTCTACATCTTTCTATACACCACTTTAAACAATTTCTTGTTATTTGTTGCCGATTGCTGCTATATGAATAAGAGTTGAATGCCTCCATGTTCCATTTTTTGCAGTTCCATGCCAATTGCATTGATCCATGGTTGAGGCAACAAGGCACATGCCCCGTATGCAAACTAAGAATAGGATCTGAAATGCAAGGTGTCTTGGATAGTACTAATGATGTTTCTGCCATGGTTTAAGTTTCTATATACTCCAGTGTAATATATTAGCATGAGATTACCTGTACATGACTTACCTTTCTCTCTAGCCTAGTCCCGTGTATAGCAACTGGTGTGTTACATGGTAGAACTTGCACCTAGTGCTCGACTTGTTTCAGTTCTTCATAATACCGTGTGAATTGTAATTTCTGCAAAGACATGTAAGCATCTAGCTTGTTAGCATCATTATCTTTCATTTTTTGTATTGAAACCTTGTCAATGATGCTCTGCTGAAGATGATCTTGTCTGCCATCATATGTTATAGTTGGAATGCGAAAAGCTCCCATATGATAATTGCATTATATACTGTGATATTGAAAGATCTGCAGAACTAGATGAGATGAATGAAGGTGGAAAACACTTCAAAGTTGAACTGTGTCGTGGCAACCACGTCTCAGACTCTCCATCCTCATATCCGTCATTGCTTTCATCAAAGAGTGAGGTTACTGTATGACATTATTTTATTTTTAGCTTTTTAATATATACAAGTTTATATATTTTGAAATCACAAATTGAAATTATATTTGGGATTAGATGAGTCTTTCCCAGATAGTTGATGTTGGACTAGCATAGCAATTATGAGGACAAAAACAGCATGCTTCATGCCTTTCTTGACTGTTTTGATTTAGTCTTCCTTTAATATTTCACCAAATATTTGGACATTGGTCTTACATAATTTAGACTTCAAAATAATGTAAGTCTAAATTACATAAAATATTCTCCTAAACCCAGCCCAATTATGATATTGACAGATTGTTAATCTACACATTGTGTAGTACAATTTTTGCAAAGTCAATGCTGTACTACAAATCTGAAGGTTGAATGACCTCCACACAAGTTAAGCCTGATTTTAATTGATGAATAAATAATGTGATGACTATTTTCTCATTCATGCAAATAGGCATAACTTAATCAAGTTTTGTAGACTTCTAGCCATTGAGAGGGACAAAGAGGTGGAATAAGGAGCTGCATACATACAATGACTTCCATCTCTTCCCTGAAATCTCTCAAATCGACTTCGTTTGTTATTGTTGTAGTTCTCATTCTTTCAATTCAGTTTATTTTGATTGACGCCCATGGTGGTATCAGTCATGATCATGAAGATAGTCCAGTCAGTCATGACGAATCTAGTAGTACTCCCAAGAATGTCGATTCAAGGAAGCTTGTCATAGTCAAAATATGGTGTTTAGTCATTTTTCTTGTTAGCACCTTTGTATTTGGAGTCTCCCCCTACTTCTTACGATGGAACGAGAACTTTCTCGTTCTTGGGACTCAGTTTGCTGGAGGAGTCTTCCTTGGAACAGCAATGATGCATTTCTTAAGCGATGCCTCTTCTGTTTTTTCTAACCTCACATCCCTTGAATATCCATTTGCTTTCATGTTAGCCTGTGCTGGATATGTCCTTACCATGTTCGGTGATTGCATAATTATGTACGTTGCCAAGAAAAGCGCAGGGAAAAAGAGGGTGGCAGTAGAAGAATATAGAGATGAGGAACAACCAGAGAAAGACGAAGGAATGGAGCACAGCCCAATCTTCATAAGAACTACATCAGTTGGAAACTCTGTTCTTCTCATAGTTGCTCTTTGTTTTCACTCTATTTTTGAGGGCATTGCTGTTGGAATTGCAGGTAACCAACTTACTAACTTTAACCTAATTCAATATTTAATTTTCCTGCCTCTAAGTTTGTCTTGTTTTTGTTATAAAATTCAATTCTTAAACAATTCCCGATGTAGGAAATATATAAAATGCTTATTTAGTAACAGTTATATACTTAGTCCTTAAGACTGCATATATCATAATCGTTAACTATATTCTCACTCGAAAGACAAATTTATTTTTTGGGGTACAGATAATGAAGGAGATGCATGGAAGAACTTATGGACTATAGCCCTGCACAAAGTCTTCGCGGCCATTGCAATGGGGATTGCCCTCTTAAGAATGATCCCAAAGCGGCCATTTTTGGCAACCGTGGCCTACTCTTTTGCCTTTGCGATTTCAAGCCCTATCGGTATAGGGATTGGAATCGCCATTGATGCAACAACCGAAGGCCCTGCAGCAGACTGGACTTACGCCATTTCCATGGGATTTGCTACCGGGATATTCATCTATGTTGCTATTAATCATCTCATTTCCAAAGGTTATAAGCCACATTCTCCTTGTTACTTTGACACCCCATTTTATAGATTCTTTGCTGTTCTTCTTGGAGTTGCTGTCATTGCAGTTGTGATGATATGGGATTAAGATCCATCACAGTTGTATTTGAGGTAATTAATACAAAATTTCCATAAAACTTTGTTCATTTGTTGAGATGATTATACCATTATATATTACCTGTAGCTGTTTGTATATGTCTTTGCGAAATGAAATATGATTTGCTTGGAAGAATGATGTTATATTTAACTAGTAATCTGTATAAATCAGAAGCATAAACTTGGTAAAGATGAATGCCAGCCTATACGTCACAGACTCACAACCTGTAGAGATTCCAATTAGTAAGATGTTATTTCATCTGTGTGCCATGTCTATATTATTTTTATCGCTGTTAGATATACAAGATTGTACTCGTGCAAATGCATGGGATATATATTGGATGATCTCTGGGAGAGGACGCCAGGCCCCAAGGTGTTTCATGTACCAAATAATCAAAAATGAAAAAAAAAAAAAAAAAAATACACGCGGTCAAACAAACTAGCAGCTATTAGGCTATAATGTTACTCAGTTACTCTGCATTTTGTTGAGCTATAGCCAAGGAAGGTGGATCCTGATCCGATATTGAAATTTTCGGTGAACAAAGTGGGGATGAATCCCCATCATGAATTATAATCAACTGATTATTATTAAGATAACTTCTGTTAATTGATCCTTGATTAGCCAATTTGTTTCTGTTGATTCCACACGCAGCCCTACCATCCACGACGGTGTTATTCTTATCTTTAAATTTGGCTAGAGATGCAAGCTCTTGGACCGCCTTTGCAATCTCCTCGGTGCAAGCTACTACATCTGCTAGTATGGTGGCGACTGTGGCTGCTAGTTTTACATCTGAAAGATTGAGATTTTCTCGTATGTTTGATCTTAACAAGGGATAGAGATTTTCAGCTGCTTGTTTGGCATTTTGGACATGGTGATTTGCGTTCGAAGGTTGGTTCATTCTCTTGATTGCCAACGATAGTTCCTTCAGGGCTTTTCCTGATTCTGTGCTCATCATCATGCATGCTTCACGGAACTTGGCCTTCACTTCTGTTGGTGTCTTTGCATGTTCAATCATAGTAATCAAATGAAGTTAGCGTACAACACAGTAGTATGTAGCCAATGTAGGTCTAGTCTTAGCATATATTGACCCGACCTGACCTAACTCGACATTCTATACATAGCACATGTACTATAGGGTAGTTAACACAATGCAAGAGCATAACTGATTAAGTTAAACCCAACAAAAGCTTACTATCTCTGATTCTTTTTGTTTGCCCCAATTTTCTTTTTAAACCGTCCTTTAAAGGTTACTCCTTACTAATAATATACATAGAAACTACGACTTTAGTCTCACAAAAATACTTCAGGTCCAATCCCACCACTTTTTCCTCTTAGAGTAGAATTTGTACCTGGACTTGAGTATATAGGAAACTATGGAGAACTTCAGCTCTACAAGCACAACGCCGAGCCAACTCGCTTATATTCTGGTATTGTGTCCATGGATGATCATACTTGAAGTGTCTATGCCGAGGCTCCCACATTGCTAAATTAAACTGCTTACATTTCAGCATCTTAGGTAAACTAAAGTAGCAAACGAACAAAATCTTCACTGGATTTTTTCATTAATAATGAAGAAAGGGAGAAAAACTAACCAAAGAATCTACATTATTTTTGGAATCGACTACTTTCTTCAATCTGTCTAGTGTGAGTTTATTGTTGTCCTTCGAGAATGCATCCGAAGAAGCTTTCAAGTATTCTCCTCCGAATTCTGTCATCAAAATGTGTTAGTTCTTGCTCATAAATGTACGTCGTGGCTAGTATATACTTCGTATTACATCCCCAAATTAAAGGAACACGACTAGAGTAGTCAATCGAGGTACACGTATGGACGTTATGCTTGTACAAGATTTAAAGTTAGTAACATATTAACATAACTATGATAAAATTGATCGAGTAAGACATACATACGACGTATAATTTTATATTACCTTGAAAAAAATCGGCAAGGATTTCAAGATTGGTGGCAGCAAGTGAGTGAAGATCAGAGCCCGCCCAGACAGGGCATATGACGACATAAACAATAACAGCCGTAGAAGTTCCTATTAAAATGGTGGTAATCCTTCTACTTGCCATGTCTAGAATTTCATCCGTTCGATACCCCGATACACATATTAAACTGAATGTCAATATGAATATCGATAGTCCATAATCAAATCTCGTCTTTATCTTTGGGAAAAATCGTATAAATGTCATTACTCCAGCTGCAAATCAAAATTACATACACATTCATCATTACTATTAACGCAATTTATTTATTACTGCCTACCAAATAGAGACCCATGCTATGTCTAATTTTACGGTTTTGATGATCGTGTCGTGATTTTGTAGTTTATTTATGTACCTGTTAAGAAAACGGAAAGTCCAAGAAAAAGAGGCTCTAGCATAGGCAGCTTCTCCTCAGGAAGACTGGATAATTTGTGAGCTCCAACTGCTGAAAATCCACCTAGAACTGTTGCAACTACTCTATTCACCCCTTTTCTTAGCGTTGCACCTAGATATACAAGTCATCGTGATACACAAATTACAAGGTAACAAAATAATCTGTTAAAGGACGACCAACTTAACCAGATTAATTTGATGGTTGAGAGGTCTAGGAATATGTTATATACTCAATTAAACAATCACATTCTAGAAAACGTAACTCCCTAACTAGGTATTAATTGTCTAGGTACATGTCTAACCAAATGACCGCGTACTAAGATATAGTACAAGTAAGATGTTTAACACTTACCAACAGAGAATTTGAAGACAACCACCACGGTGAGAACGGCCCACATTGCATCGACACCCAAGCCATTGTAGAAAGGATCAAAGTAGTAGAAGAGTGAGACCAATGTGATGGCAAACCCAACTTTGATAGTGTGAACAATTCTCCTAGGATCATCTTTAGCAAGTTGCTTAGTTAACTTTGAAATATCACCAACTTTAGTCTTCAAATTTTCAAACTTAGCATTAAAACAATTTCTTGTGTGACTTGATGTTTCTTGGTTAGGGCTCTGACGATGGCTCTCCATTAATTAGAATTTTATCTCTCTTATTGTAGAATTAGTTAGTTAGTTCTTAGGAGTATGAAGAGAGATTATAAGTAAAATAAGTGAGGTGTTTACTTAGATAAGATATAATTTTATACGGGGTAGGGAAGAACTAGTGACAACTTTAGTTGGAGTCACAAATTTTATTTGGGGCGGGTATTTCTAGTATTATAAGCTTTTTTAGGCAAAAGGAACAAAAAGGAGTACATTATAAAATGTTTCCACCCTAATTGTTGGCAAATGTGTGTGTGAGAATTTTTTTTAAAATAAAAAACAATTTATATTACAAAAAAAAAAAAAAAAAAAGATTATAAAAACACTCATTCTAGTATATCGAGTATGTTATCCTACTTTAAAAAAAAAAATAAAAATATGAATATTAGCCTTCATTTTGGAATTTTTTGACTTTTTTTCACCCGAAAATAAAAATTGTCGAAATGTTTACCATGGTCCCTAATACCCCCCGGGAGTCCAATTGGCTGGGTAGAACCATCCAATTTTCCTTTAAACGATCAATTTAACAGTTTACAACTTGTACCGATTTCATTAACTCAAGCCTATATACCACGAACATTTATGACAACATATAATGATCATATATGGTTCCAAACGGCATTATATAACCCCGATATGTATCCCCTAAAATCTCAATACTTTTCGACACCGGGCCCCGAACAATCGAAATTTCTTAAAAAGCGTGGATATTAGCCTTTAATTTTGGAATTTTTTTGACTTTTTTTCGCCCAGATATAAAAATTTCCGAAATATTTACCATGGTCCCTAATACCCTCCGGAGTCCAATTGGGTGGGTGGAACCATCCAATTTGCCATTAAACGACCAATTTACCGGTTTACAACTTGCACCGATTTAATTAATTCAAGCCTACCACGAACATTTATGACAACAGATAATAATCACATATGGTTCCAAACGACATTATATGACCCCAAAATGTATTCCCTAGAATTTCAATACTTTTAGAAACTGGGTCCCGAAGACACCAAAAATTCTCAAAAAGCGTGGATATAGCCTTTAATTTTTGAGTTTTTTGACTTCTTTTCGCCCGTAAATAAAAATTGCCGAAATGTTTACCATAGTCTCTAACAGCCTCAGGGCCGGGAGTCCACTTGGGTGGGTGGAACCATCCAATTTGCCTTTAAACGACCAGTTTTCCGATTTACAACTTCTGCGATTTCATTAACTCAACCCTACCGCACGAACATTTATGACAACATATAATGATAATATATGGTTCCAAACGACATTATGTGACCCCAAGATGTATCCCCTAAAATTTCAAGACTTTTCGACACCGGGACCCGAAACATCCAAAATTTCTAAAAAAGCATGGATAATAGCCTTCAGTTTTAGAATTTTTTGACTTTTTTCATACGGAAATAAAAATTGCCGAAATGTTTCCCATGTTCCCTAATAACCTTCGGGAGTCCAATTGGGTGGGTGGAACCATCCAATTTTCCTTTAAACAACCAATTTATCGATTTACCATGCACCGATTTCATTAATTCAAGTTTTCCACGAACATTTATGACAACATATAATGGTCATACATGGTTTCAAAAGGCATTATATGACCCCGAGATATATCCCCTAAAATCTCAAGGCTTTTCGACATCGGGCCTCTAAATCTCCAAAATTTCACAAAAAGCGTGGATATTAGCCTTCTATTTTGGATTTTTTTGACTTTTTCGCCTGAAAATAAAAATTGTCGAAATGTTTACCATGGTCCCTATATCATCCGGGAGTCCAATTGGGTGGGTGTAACCATCCAATTTGCCTTTAAACGGTCAATTTACCAGTTTACAAATTGAACCAATTTCATAAATTCTTGCCTACCACAAACATTTATGACAACATATAATGATCATTTATGTTTTAAAACAGTAGTATATGACCCCGAGATGTATCCCCTTAAATCTCAAAGCTTTTCGACACCGGGATCCGGAACCTCAAAAACTTCTCAAAAAGCATGGATATTAGCCTTCAATTTAGAAATTTTTTGACCTTTTTTCGCCCGAAAATTAAAATTCCCAAAATTTCTCAAAAAACGTGGATATTATCCTTCAATTTTGGAGTTTTTTGACTTTTTCTCGCCCGGAAATAAAAATTGCCGAAACGTTTACCATGGTCCTTAATACCCTCCGGGAGTTCAATTGGGTGGGTGCGTGTAACCATCCAATTTTCCTTTAAATGGCCAATTTACCGGTTAAACTTGCACCGATTTCATTAAATCAAGCCTACTACGAACATTTATGACAACATATAATAATGATCATATATGGTTCAAAACGGAATTATATGACCCCGTGATGTATCCCCTACAATCTCAAGTCTTTTCGACATTGGGTCCCAAAACCTCCAAAATTTCTCAAAAAATGTGGACATTAGCTTTCAATTTTGAAAATTTTTGACTTTTTTTTTTCCACCCGGAATAAAAATTGCCGAAATGTTTATCATGGTCCCTAGTAACTTCCGGGAGTCCAATTGGGTGGGTGGAACCATCCAATTTGCCTTTAAACGACTATTTTACCGGTTTACAACTTGCAGCGATTTACTGGTTTACAACGGCCAATTTAATTAACTTGCAGCGAACCTGACTTGAACCGAAATTGACCCTAACCCGTTTTAACCCATCAAAACCCGAATTTAACCTGACTTGTTACTAACCTGACCTGAATTCAACCCGACTCGAATTTAACCCAACTTGTTACAAACCCGACCCGAAATCAACCTGATTTGTTATTGACCTGACCTAAAATTAAACCCGACCTGAATTTTACAAGACCTATTACTTACCCGACCCAAAAATTCAACCCGGTCTGTTACTAACTCGACTCGAAATTAACACGACTTGTTATTGACTTGACCTAAATTCAACCGAAATTATTCTTGACCCAATTTTAATCACCTTAAATGCAATTTAGACCACCTTATATTGTTGATCAAAGAATTTTGTCTAGGGAGACCCAGTCGGTCCAGGCCAGCAAAAGAAAGGAGCATCATCCTCAAATTTAAGAGTTAAATATAGTATATATTTGATTTGTTGTATGGTCAAAGGAGATAATTATCTTCCTAAATTATAAACTATAGTTCCCTAGTGTATTGCCATATATATTATAGTAAAAGGAAATAATTAGCTTGATAAATATGATAATTATTTGTTTATAGTTAGTTGAACCCGAATATGACCTGACTTGGAAATGACCCGACCTAATTGTAACCTGCAAATTAATGACTTGAACATAATCCGACTTGAATCCGAGAATGAATCGACTTGAAAATTACCCAACCTGATTAAAACCCGCGAATTATTGACTTGAACCGAACCCGACTTGAACCCGAGAATGACCCGACCTGATTATAACCTGCAAGTTATTGACTTAAACCGAATACGACTCAAACCCGAGAATGACCCGACCTGATTCTAACCCGCAAATTATTGACTTGAACCGAACCTGACTCGAACCCGAGAATTACCCTAAGCCGGCCCGTTTTAACCTGAATTAAACCCGACTTATTGTTCACCCGAGCCGAATGTAACCCGACTGGTTATTAACCCGACCCAAACCCGATAAGAAGTATGGCCCGACGTGACCCGACTCAAGCATGACCCAACCCAAACCCGACCCGCATAGGTTATGGAATTAATCTTAATTGACCCGACGTTGACCCGACCCATTCTTACCGACCAAAACCCGACCCGTTTACCCGAATTGACAGCTCTAGGCTCATGTTAGGTATAAATATATCTTTGATTGGGCTTAGCTACCTAGCTAGGCCCATCACTTAATTAGCTAATACAGGTAGTCTTGTTTAATTACTTTGTATAATAAGACTCTATTTTCTTCACCATACAAAAAAAAAAAAAAAAAAAATATTCAATCTAATTTACACTTATGTAAAATAATTTCAGTTCAATAAAAATTAATAATTTTAAATAACAAATATAGTAATGAATTAGAAATTACTGTGTAAGTTTTAATCTATAAAATAATTTCAGTTATCTAGTATAAATAATTTACGTATGAATACACATTCTTGTTTACTTTGTTTAAAATTGATACAATACGTATTTACAAAGCAACCATATTACACCTACTCCCTCTTAGTATATATTTTGAAGCGACTTTTTGATTAAGAGATCATTTTTTGTTTCCTTATAATAAACAAAAATGAAGGGATCGACTTTATTCTAGATGCTCGAGCAAATGGCCAATACTCAGTAAAGTCGTCATTTTCACGTACCAAGTGAACGCATGCATGCATGCATGCATATATATTTAAGTAGTGTGTAATATATAGAGTAAGAACACAAGAGCTTTGATAGACGAATTATTTCCCTTTGAGTACAGTGCAAACCAAGCGTAAATTCAGAGTGCCAAACAAGGTGCGAAGTTGGTGCAACTGCAAACTACAATTACATTTACTTATAATATCAGTGTATGTAATATTGAAATATTTTAAATAGTGTGTGGCGATGCTACTTATGGGTTGATTATTTGAATTTCAAAGTATAAACTATTACATAGTATAATTGATACATTTTAAATAGTGTGTGGCGATGCTACTAACGGGTTGATTATTTGAATTTCAAAGTATAAACTACGAAGTATTACATAGTATAATTGATACGAAGTAGTAAATAATATAAAGGCTAATGAAAAATAAACGGCCCAACTTCGAATTATGGCCAGTTTACATTTACTGAACTAAACTGATTGGAGCTGAATTGAAAGTAAGTAAATGTGAACAGACCCTTAGATATATTTGACGAGTTGTATATGAAAAAAAATAATTTAATTAATTATAGTTAAGATGAAGAGTTATAACTCAATCAAATCATTTTGAGCTTATTATTAGTCTTGAATTCAAATCTATAATAACCATTATGTATGTTATCTATCACTAGAGAGTACTTCTATGACTCTCCCCCCCCCCCCGTAATCTAGAAGGTTTAGTAGCTTAAATTGGGTCAGGATTTATAAAATATTTTGAATAATCAAATGCATATTCATACACTCCACGTTTTAATAAGTGTTACATATATTCTGACAATTTAATATATTTTCAACAAAAAAAAAATTATAAGTTTTCGCCGGCTCAATAGAATTTAAAATTACATGCTCCTGATTTCCGAAAAAACTTTTATAATTTTCTTAGTTTATTATTTTTTTATTGAAGAAATAATTTTCTTAGTTATTGTTTTCATAAATTAAATTTTTTTTTTCTAAGTAAAAATTAGACACTTCTTTTAATCTTTTCTAATGATTTGTATACACCAAGCTTGGCTCTCGCAATTTATTACTTCAATTGACTATTCATCTAAAAAAAAATTAAACGAAGAAGAAAGTGAAGTTTAATGTTCATTAATTCTTACTGGTTGAATTAATTTGACATAAAA